GAGAGAGAGAGAGAGAAGAGAAGCGAAAAAACAAATAACAGAAAAAGTAGTTTCTCTCTTGAAGTACACCGGAGTACAACTACTTTGCTCTATTACATCAAACAACGTGTGATTAATAAGTATTATGAGATCCGATTTCCTTTACCACTTTGGAAAAAAATCATCATATATTCCCATAATCAGGAAAAACCACTCTCACTACTTTAAGTAATCACGGTCAGTGTGTACTGTTATTACTATTATCAAGGTATATAACAATTATGTCTGCGTAACGGTACTAAGACGCTGTAATCACAAGTTACCGTTTTTTCCTTTTTTTAACCAACCATTTCATGCACTACGGGACAAACTGGGCTTTTTCTGTCGTAGATAAACCGTTAATTTTGAGAGTACTCGTTTCAGTTCATGAGGCTCTCGTCTAAAATAACAAAATGGCCTTCTTAGTGCAGAAAGATAAAAAGATTCAAAGGATACGCATATCTTATCATTCTGCGTTCATTTTTTCGTTATATGAAGTGGTTATTTCCACTGGTAAATCATGGGTTTTTTTTATCTCATTTCTCTTGAGTTTTTTCGGTATCGGATGTGAGAGATATATGATGATTATTAGATAAGAAATAAAAGTTCAGGCGGTTTTTTATATGATGATTCACTTCCCGCCAAAATTCCATGGATAACGAACTTATTAGATTCACTTGTTACTATATTTTACATTGTTATTATAGATCTCTTGCCGTCTATATATCGGTAGAAAAGGTCTCCGATTCAGAAAATGGGGTATAATAGAAAACGGAGAAAGGGGAGGGGGATCTTGGAAAAAAGCTGTGTGGATGAAAGTGAACATTCATATGTAAGCCTGTTGTTTACATGCTTTCTCTTTCTCCTTCCTCTTTTTCCCTCTCTGTTTTTGTATCTCTCTCTCTCTCTCCCTCTCTGTCTTTCTCTCTCTCTATATATATATATATCTATTTATCTATTTATCTATCTATCTATCTATCCATCTCACTTGTCTATTGTCAAAGTAGAGTACCTGTTTCCCTTAAGTAAGCTCTAAAATGTTACAAGAATAAATAGTCTTGATTTGTCTAAATGAACCTTTCAATTGTAGCAGTAGTAGTTACCGTAGCTAGAAGGTTTCATTCATAAAAATGTAGTCAAATAGTAAACATCAGTCAAGAAAATCAGTGAACGGAAAATTGCCGCAATCACTCAGTCACAGAGGTAATCATGATTATAGTACTGGGAGTTACAGGAAACCACACCGATGAAACTCAGAGATGTGAAGAAAAAAAAGAAGTAAAATAGTAAAAACATAAGCTTTTTCATCAGGTTGAGGAAGGGGATGTGTGTCCGGGGTTTTGCTGAGGCTATTTCTGGTCGTTTCACAGAGCTTGGAGACCTGACGGACCCTTTAATGAAACGGCCGATGCAGCTCAAGAATCGATTGGCGAACAAACAAGAACAAGGCATAATTTCATCTCGCGGGAGACAAGGAAACCACAGATACTTGTCTGACAGGGGATCGTGGTATGCATCGATCCCTAGTGCGTATGACTCAGTCACTGCTGAGAAGGGATAAGGAACAGTTTGTCAGAAATCTTGCAGAGGAGATCGATGGCCATTTTTTTTAGTAAATGACTTTCATCCTGCCTATCAAGC